AAAAATCGAACAATTTATTATGTTATTTATAATAGGAAATGTTCACCGTAGTGCTGGCTAATTAAATTTATGTAGAAATTATATTGTGCATTTATTTTACATCATTACTGAGAAATATTGTGATATTTATGTATTCACTAGTTATGTGTTTATAAATAACACATTTTTTTAAATGCTTAAAATTTAGCAAAATTAAATAAAGAAAATGTAAAGAGCATAAAATTTTTTAGAAAATATACAACTTTCTATGTAATAAGACCAGTTGTTTTAAATTAACTTTTAGATTATCATTATTATATTGAAAAACATAATGAAATAAACCAAAATCCAACTATGAGATGTTTGAAAGTGTTTATCAATTAATATATGATTTTTACAGATTTAGTGTAGTTTTATTTAGGCACTTTTCATTTCTAAATCTCATGGGTTCAGCACGTAGGCTTAGGAGTATAAAGGGATCAAAACATGCTGGTTCTCTGTTCTGAAACTTGAATATAAGTATTATTCCTTCTGCTACAAGTTGCAAAACTACTGTAGTCACTACTTTTTTCATAGTTTGAGTGTAAGGATCTATTTTTAAGAAGAAGTAGTGTATTGAGTAGTGCAATACAAAAAAAGAAGAAAAAAATAGTTATTTGTAGCAATTCCTAGCAACTACTTTCATTGTTAATTTTCCAAACAACGAGGTTCAAAGCAACTGATTCGTCAAATATTTGATTGGTACAAATATGTGCTGGTTCGTCGGTGGATGTAGTGATAATGCCCAATTGGCCAAGCATTAATCAAAATTATATCTGATACTCCAGAGAAGTGAGTTTTTTTTTTTTCTTTCTTAATCAAGCCATTATATATAATGACTAATATTTAAACTAGCCATTATAAATAATAGCTTATTTATAATTTTGTCCATAACTTCAATTGAAATACACTGTACAATCATGAAATTTTATTATGGACAAAATGTTATTTTGCTGGAGGGGGACATATTTGCTACTATTTCATAGAGGAAATAAAAAAGTATTAAACACCTAAGAAAATAAAAAGTATTCAATAATTTCCTTGCATTTCTTAAATTAAATATTTGCTGTCGTGAAGGGCATAAAAGTGAAGAAAATATACCTAAATGATTTAGAATAAGAAACTGGCTCATGTAAACATGAATAAATAATTCTAAATAATTTCTCATATTTAATGTAAGCACATTTTTTAATCAATTTGAACTTGGATATTCTCCAGCAAAGTTTATCTTCTAAATATGGTGACTACATTTCTAAAGTTGCTATAGTTTTAGTGAACTACAAGAGAAATGCAGTTTTCTGACCAATGATTCCTTTTTATTTTATAAATATGACTTTTTAAAAAAAAATTTAATTTCTTGTGTTTATAGTAGAAACTATTTCTGACTCGTATTACCTTTTCAGATGTATTAAGTTGTGTAATTTATAGAAAATTGAAGCACCAACAGTGGCAGTGTTGAGTAATCGAAATTAACTATGGAAATTAACTGAGTTTAATCGAACAAATAGAGAAAAAAAATGCACACACAAACTCCATTATTTATAGACTTCGGAATTAAGAAATATTTTTTAGCTCTCAATAGAGAATTCTTGAACATTATTATTTAACCCAGAATTTCAGATTTAACGAAATGTCAATTGATTTTTTTTCTCGAAGTATATAAAAACTAATTTAATATCAATTATGTTATTCAAAGTGAGTAAAACTGTAATTTTACATTATAATTATAAAAAAAACTTATTTTTAAGACTGGGACTTGTTTTGTTGAATCACCTATGCAGATCTTACATTGTTTGCTAAGATACAAAACTTGAATTTCATTAGTTTATTTAATATCTTTTTTACTTTCATGGAAACTTGGTTTGGTATTATTTGGTTTTATTGGCTTGGTTGGCAAAGTACCTATATTTGTTATATATTAGATACCTACTGCCAAAGGACCTTTTATCACCATAAATCAAATATCACTGGTATTAATAATAGTTTGGTGATGTTTTACCCTACCTTCTAGAAATGGTATAGTGCCCTTTGTTCTGGTATTAAAATGTTAGCACTAGAACACTGACTACGATCACAAGAATTAAATATGTAGAAAATATTTCTTGTTCCTCTTTTTATTTAAAAACAGTCTGTATTTATGTTAGTTATTTATTTTAAACTTCTTTTTTCCTTACAGAAACTTCATTTTTACTTACTGTTACTGGAGTTTCAATTGTAGGAGGTTTTGGCATGGCATTAGCAATGGCAAAAAAAAAAGATCCTGTGTATTTCCTTAAAGTAAGAGACTAATAATTGTAAAACTTAAATTTCTTTTTTTCTCTAATATTTCTTTAAATGCACAATAAATGAATATTTTATAAATTGTCATAATGTAATTGAGCTAATATATATATTAGTTACATCTATTTCAGGTGTTGTTTAAAAATGTATATCTTATGCAGGTTCATTTTTCCTGAGATTTAGGGGTACGCTTCTTGGTGTGCACTCTGGATATAAATTTACTACCCTGCATCCCCTTTGATCGTGTTTATATCCCTTTATAGTATATATGACGTGGCTGTGCGGTAGCGCTTCGCTCTGTCGTGCTACAGGTCCCTGGTTCGATCCTCGGGACGGACAAGGTTGACTCAGCCTTTCATTCCTTTGGTGGATCGATAAATGAGTACCAAGCATGCGTGGGAGCTAAACACTGGGGGTTCCGCGCTCGGCTGACCACCTGACCGGAACATCTACTCCTGCACCCCAGAGCCCAAGGTCAAGAAAACTGAGATGGGCACAGTAGGCCTTGGCCCTCTATGGGCTGTCGCGCC